TACATATATATTTATAATACAGGGATAATTTTTTGATCTTATTTTTAGACAAAGTATAATATATGTATGTGAAAAAAATTCTCTTGTTAAAAATTAACATTTGCTCGCGCATCGTCGCATAAATAATTCTCCTTACGATGAGCTGCATGCGTGAGCGTAAATATGTGATGCATTCTATTTATACGCAATCCGCGTGTTCGCCAGCAATAAAATCGTGGCGCAAATTTGGATGAGGTAAGGTCATCAACGTGGGAGCGTGGGAGTACTTTCACCGCGACATTACAAGTAAAGCGAAAAAAGCGAAATATAATATTGAAAGTGCGCTGGCCTTTCCGAAAGAAGGACCCGTCAGAATTCCACGCGTTGACAAATTGCTTGTCCTTTCTGTGGTACTCGGGATAACGACAAAAATGATTTGCGGCCTATCGACATTAATCTCAATCGAACGGTTCAATGCGAGTTACAATCGTTTGTCGAGACTAATTTTTATGTTTCGCTCTTCGTTCTCTATGTCTATTCGAATTTTATGATTCTATTCGAATTTTATGATTCTATTTGTTATTACGTAATAATTTGTTAAACGTAATATATTTATATAAAATTATTAACTATAAAATTGTTAAGTGCGAATGTAAAGCAACAAAATTCTTGATGCCAAAAATATGAACATTACCAAAAGTAGATATTCCATAAAATATACCTTCAAATTATAAGTCATCTGCTTAAAATAATTGAGACTAATAAATTTAAATATAACTTTCATGCGATACCAAAATTTAATAATCCTTGATCCATTATTAACGTAATACGATAATCAATTGACATTAATAAAATTTTACAAATAACAAAAAAAATTATATAGCTTATGCCCAAAAGTGACATGTAACATTTATCATTAATTGTTAAACGCATAAATTTCTTATTTAAATCCCCGATAAGATCCTCACTTTCGAGGTGTATCGCTTTAAACTGACGAAAGGAAGAAGGCTCATCGATCAGAAGATACGCACGTGCTTGCTTTTATGCTAATACCTATAAACTCTGGCACAATCGTCGCTGTTATTATCGAGGCTACTACGACCGATCGTAAATCTCACGCGCGACGGCTGGACATTTCAAAAATGGCTCCTTCCGAGATTCACTCGTATCCGAGAGAAGCATGCGTATGTTGAGATGCACACACGCATACCATTCGTATACAGTACACCATTGTTGGTCGTGTTGTGTTGTCGGTATTCTCGAGGAGAGCCGTCTCGCCATATGCGGCAAGGCCGCCCGTCCATGTGGTACTAGGCCTCATAACAGGCCCCTCTCTCGTCATCGTCACGTGGGAAAAAATCCGGAAAATACAACAGATTTTTACATCTTTGATTTTTTAATATACTAATACTTATAAGAGAGAATTCTATTTTTTAAGAAATTTTCTTTATATATAATTACTTTTGAAAAAGTATAAATATAAATTAGTAAATTAATTGACGCGATTTGTGAGAAACATATATAATTCAATGATGCTACTTTATGAAATCTAGATTGCATGTTTATTTTTCATATCGTTTCATGAAATCCCACATAAACGAACTAAAGAAAAAGATTGTACAAAAGGAAAGAAAATTGAAGTGAACGACGCCATGCACCGTTTCTTGTTAAGGCCTTTTATTAATCTTTTTATATAGTTTTTGGTCAATTTACAACTGTTCGTAGATAAAATGATAACGTAACATAGGCAACGTTGCGTATAATAATCATAGCAATTAATCTTTATCATTCTCTTGATAATAATAATAATAATCTCGTAATATAATATAATATAATATAATAGAGAATAATCATCATTATCATCATAGCAATAGTTGTAATAATAATATAATATTGGTAAATCGATGATATTGCTTAATCATTAACGCACGGCCGTGATATCATTGGGGTTACAAAAGCTTAGGCCTAAAAATTAGCCGCCCGGCGCCTAAATTAATGCGCACTGTAACGGGAGAACTAATATTTCTCTTATCTTTCGATACCAGATTATTCTGGTATACATTGTTACGATGCTATGACTGTTAAGAAAGCGGAATCGAGCGCAATATTTTCTCAGAAAAACACAGAGTTTGAACAAATGTTGGATAAGCGAGTACTCGAGATTTTACTGCATCGCCATCATGCAATTTTTCAATATATTTCAATATGTACAAATATTTTTACGTATTGCATTTATGAATGTGCCACAAATTTATATCATGAATTTATTCTGCCTCAGGATTAAATGCAAATATAAATTTTAATGATGACGCCATCGTTTAAAATAATGTCTTAAAAAAATATTAATTAAAAAATGAAAATTTAATTTAAAAAATCAATGATATTTTTCAATGATATTTTATAGAAAAACGATTAAAAAATATACATATAACAGTTATTGCTTCTGTTGAATTCTGAGAAATATTCTGTGATTATGCGCATTTGTGATCATGCATAAATCTTTCGAGTAAACTATCTCTGATTTTCGCTGAGAATAGTGTTTGGTGATTTAATATCTAGACATACTTAACCCTTCAATGATGGGCAAAAAGACAAAAGTTTTGTCGCGTAATATCGATTATTCGTTTTTTTTTATTCGAGTGACGATTTTGAATTTACATGATAATTTCCAAAACACTCTTCACACACTATACTAGTGTTCTTCATATTACGATGAGAAGTTTAAATATAAAAATATGCACTTTATCGTAAACTAATGAGACATAACAAATAACCCGTGTTAGCGACGATTATCGAAGGGTTAAGTCAATTTAGCTTAACTTAATAGAACATGCTTTACATGATAAAAACGAAGATATGCTTCTATAACAACGTATTCGTTATATATTTACAGAAGATATAAAACGCCATGTTTGCGCAGCACCGAACTTCAGTAAATCCGTCGTGTTTTCTCGACCATCTGTTTTGTGTGCATTTATTTCAAATCAACGCGAATCATTTCGAAGTAAAATAAATGATACACATCATGGCCGTCTAGACTAGAGATCAATTTAATTGCAATAGCAGAATAAAAGTTTTTTTCGCTGAAACTGCTCGCGGATATATATTTACAGGCAATGTTATATAACTTGTGTATGCATGCGTGTGTGCATGTGTGTAGAAAACACGACGATATTATACGCGTAAGATGTAGGAAATTGTTCGAGTTCCGAATAAGGCAAGGCGGCTCGAGTCCATCGCGATTAATCTCCGCTCTTTATGTCAGGAGATTCGCCACGATTTTCGCGTCTTTCCCACATGATCGACGTATAATTCGCGTACAACGTTAGCAAATTGAAGAAGACTTTTCTGAAAGCTCCGGCGACGGGAACGAACGGAGAAGGAGGATCGGCAACATATCGTCGTTCGAGCATTCGTAAGATGCCTCTACTCGTGGTCGTCGTACATTGACCGTTTACTATCTAACCACGTTACTAAAAAATAACCCTCTTTCGCATGTTAATCGCATCGACAAAATAAATCCTTTTCTCTCCGCCTTAATCCGTTACTAAGACACTTGGTACAAAATTTGGCGCTACGCTCGCGTTTGGTATAAAAAACAGTTAAACACTGGAATGGCATTTGTTCGACGACACATGTCAGTATCTATACAATGCAGTCTGCTTCAGGTTGAGGAAAACGGGAGGAAAAGGTGAGGGAGGGGGTTATTTGATTTTATATCCGATGGATCCGAACGTATGAGGGGATCCTCACTTCGATTTTCAATTTTTAATCAGTTCTTTCTCCTGTATCTTTCTCGTTCTTTTTCATTCCTTTCCTCTCCTTCGCGAGGCCGTAACGTATAAATAAATTATCTTTGATAAATATAACCGATAAACTATATAATTAAATAAAAATGATTAGGTGTTACCGATCGGCAACGATGAAAACGATTGAGTGTGCAATTGCAACGGTACCTCGACCATCTTTCACGATATGTGAGCTTGAGAATCGGCATCATTGATCGCATTAACTCTTAAAGTACCACGCACGTCAAATCACACAAGTAATATTTATATATCCAAACATTTAAAAATTTAAGAAAGCTTTATATACATATATATAAAAGAAAAATAATTTTATAAAAAGTATCACAATGCATGAATAAGATAAAAAAAAAAATTTTTTAAAAGAGTTTGCATGGTAATTTAAAGATTATTATTTCAAACTCAACAATTGACGAATGCATAGGATGCAATTAAGTGATTGAAAGTGAATCGATTGGGAAATTATTAATGCGAGACTCACCGCATTTAATTGCACACTTTTGATTCCGCATTAATCAATTGAAAACTTGTCCACGGAACGAGTTTCCTTTCTTTTTCTTTCTTTTATTTTGTTGTCTATCGTAAACGTGTCATCTCGTTCTTCAGCACCATCTAAGCACCACCCCGATACGTGACTACTAAGAGCTACTAACTGATTGACCCCGTACCGTTAAGGCCCGTTAAGTTACTCTCTAGTCGGACGTCTTCGATCTACAACGATGGTTGTTGAAGGCGTAGGCGAAGAGCAGAAATAGAAAGCAATCTAAGCATCGAACTGTTTGCCATGATGATAATACACATGATAACACAATAAAACAAACATTTAAATAATACAAAACGTTTAATGTAAAATTAGAATTTTTTTGAAATTTAGATTCTAGAGAGAGAATTTCAAATAAAAATTCAAATTTTAGATAACTATATTTTCTCTAAAAAAACTTTGGAAGTTTTATGTATTAATTTAAAAAACTTATAAATGTTTTTCAAAATGTATCTATTTTAATGGACTTTGATTTTAAAAATTCTAAAATAAAAAATTGCAATTCTAAACTGCAAGTTTGTAAAAATAATTAACTTGTAATTTTGTAAATTTTTGAAATATTTAAAGGAAAGCATCTTAAAGAGCATCTTCAATATTAAAATTTCAATATTAAAAAGAAAAAATCTAAATAAATAGTAATTTTAATAAATTACACTTTATTTTAGTAATCCATTTTTAATTTTACGGAAGATGCTTTTTTATGATACTTCCTGAAAATTTCCTGAAAAGTGATCCTTTTATGGAATAATTCAATTATCGTGGACTCTCGATTTTTCTTTTCCTACGCCTAAAAATCTGTGAACTTTTTAAATTATAGATCTCTCTCTTTCTTCTTTGAATCCCCCTTTAAATACTATCTTTTTAAGTCAATTATAAAACATATAAGTATTTTTAAGTCAACTATAAAACATATATATACATTCCTCTCATGTTCTATCGTGATTAAGACGTCCGACTTGTCTATTAAATCGAATCAAGAATCAAGCGCAGCAAGAGGCGCGATATTCGCCTCGGTATAGTTGCTCTCGCTAACGTCAGTGCTGACTCGATCAGCCTAACTTAGTCTAACACTGGAAGGTTACCCGATATATCTCGATCCTCAAGACCCGATCGAAAAAGAAAAACCACTCTCAAACGCTGTCCGATGCCACAGACATCGGTCTTTTATAGGGGACGGTACGAGGCACCGGTATCCTCGAGCAACCTTCCTGGGGTTTCGGATCTTTTCGGGGACTAACCGATACCTGAACGTCCTGGGGAACAGTCATCGTCCCGTTACTGTCCACCCACATTTTGGCAAAATCCATATTCGCGGCATCGTCGGCCGAGTTAGCCTGATAGTCCCTCAGGAGGCCTTGCAGTTTCTGCACCATTTCACGCTCATCCTTCAAATCGCCCAGTTTTTGCAGAATCTGATCGAGCAGCGGATTCGTCACCTTGGTAGGCGATGACTGGAGAGAAGCGGTACCCGTAGCCGTTCTGATCCTCCTGCCATTCCTATCGTATTGAATGCTACTGTTCAGGTTCGGCCGCGATTGCAGACTCTGCCTACCTGGACTCTTCCGCGAGAAACTCGGCGTCGTGGCGCACGTGGCCGGTGTCGATCTCGGATCCAGGAAAGTATCCGTCTGAATGCTAGCTCGCCGTCTAGTCTGACGGCCGTTCCACGTGGCACTACCGCCGACGGACGTTTTCGCTTTGGGTATCGGTATCGGTGACAGCGTTTTACTAAGACTTCCGGTCGGCGTTGACTTACGTACCGTCCCGTAGCTTCCGTTGCCTCTGCGTATCGAACCACCTCGGTTTAACGGGCTACTCTCCGGGCTAGAATTGCTGTCTTTGGGTGTCTTACTACCGGATGACGTCTTGGATAGATTGCTATTTTCTCGCACGACAGAACTGGCGCGTGGCGTCCTGTCGCCCGTCGACGAAGACGCCACGCTCCTGGACGGGGACGAGACCCGCAAAGGACTCGCTAGCCTATCCTTTCGAATTACCTTGCGCAGCCCGGTCTCGATGCTATCGGTCTCCACGCCAGATCTTTCCTCGGATTCTGTTTTTGGCGGTTGCTCTGAAACAGAAAATGGAAAAGACGCGCATTCTTAGACGCTGGATCTGAGATTTGTAATTAATTTGTTTGTTCTGACATTAGTTTAGTTACTTCATGTCATATGAGAGTAACACAAAAATAATTTTGGAATATTCATAAAAAATGTGTGTGTCAGTCTTTTATATTTTTCTTGATCAACATTTAATCAACATTTAATTAACATTATTCTTTATAATTCTTATAAATGCAAATCTTTTTATATATTATACTATATTTAATCATTATATATAACATTGACATTAATTAAATTTATCAAATTTTAAATTTATCTAATAAGTAAATTTATCTAATTTTTAATGTAATGTCTATTTCAATTAATAAACTTGGCGAAACTCATTAATTAAATGCAACTAGATATCTCGGAAAACATCGTATAATATCTTATTCCAAACATTAGAAAGCATCGAATTATATAAACGAATTGTTACACAATTGTGTATCGTTCTTTTCGTCGTTTCCCGTTGTGACGATCCGTTAACATTGTCATACAGCGAATGCATGCGTGTAACTATTAATATCGAAGCTTAAGTTTTTTTTTCGTCATCACGAGGTGTCAACTTTCGCAAACACGTGTGATTTAGGATTCGACAAAAATCTTGACGATTACCAAATTGGTCGGTCTCGCGTTTAGCATATTTAGCGTAGGCGAGGTGAAGGAACGGGCCCTGACACAATTGGGACCGAACGGTGGGTCCTGCTGTATGATTTACATTGGCAAAACGACAATCCTGCGAAAGGTCGAAGGCAACTAATCCAAAGACAAATGAATCCCTTCATCGGGACTTCCGCGCAAGTTGTAATCATAAATCTTCTGCTGCTTTATATAACACGAGAGCTTGAATTTTTCTACATAATTTTTATGTAACCAGTTATGTAAATCTTTTTATCATCATCCATATATACCCTTCATTTCATGTAATTTATATTCTATTACATAGTAATTGTTGATCATATATTTTATATTTATTATACAATTATTAGTATTATTATTGATTTGATTAAAAGATATTATCCGGATGATTACACATAAAATTTTTATTATCAATATCCATATAAAAGATAATAATATATTAAAAAGAGAAATATACATCGATAAACGAAATTAAACAAAAATTTCCTAATAAAATTGACGTAATTTAATATTGCATAAGAAAGAAGTGTACATATCCAATTATAATTATTGAAAATTATACATTTGTTTGCGATAATTTTACGGTTTTATATTCAATTTTTTTGACAAACTTAATATATATATTTTTCTTTCTTTTTTTTTTTAATTTATATCTTGCTATAAATGAGCTATATAATTAAAGTGTTGCCTTTCATGTTTTTCTGATCAGCTGTTCCCTCACCAAAACATCGCCTGTCGTTTCATATTTCATATTCGCGTATTGCATACACACCTACGTATAAACCACAGAGAAAGTCGATTCTTCGGTAAAGAAGAGAAATTAGATTTTTAAATTCATGTATCGATGTCATGTGCGCACGCGGGAATGATAGAATGGCGTTGTCCCCATCGGGACAAATGTAAATGAGAAAATATTCATCGAACTCGAATTTTAAATGAAGAATGACTCCTCGAAATACGGCTCACCGATCACGTTGAATTTAATCCTTGTCAGTTTAGAAGATTCGACCGGATTCTCAATAACGTATTGCGTTTTTTAATCCCATCCGCGAACGCAAAAACATCGCATAAATATTAAGGTGTTCGATTATAAATTTATTGAGTTACGGCAGATACGCATATATTTGCGCGAACGCAATTCGTAATTAAAATCTGGGAATCGAAAATCTATTTCGAGATCTCGTCCTAATAACGCGCTACTGGTTAAACCGGATTCAGCCTTCATCGATCTATGGAGTCCTTGGAACTTGTTATTAAAATTACGCAAATGAATTACGAATTAAATTTGTTGCAAAGGAGCCTGCATTGACTTGCTAATATTAGAATCGATATCACAGTTTCGTATTCATTCAATATCGTACATGACGGTTATGGCATAAAAAAAATAAGTGCATATAATTTACAAGGTTTATAACGAGAAAATTATAGATTTCCTTCACACCTTCTGAGATTTTCATATATATCATTGGATTTATAATTCTATTTTCATTAAACATATTTAAACCCAGTCTACAAGCAAAAGTTATTTTTCATTTAAAAAGAGCACTAACATGACTTATATCGATCGATAGAAAAGATTTCGATATTCCATCTAAAAAAATAATTATAGTATAAAAATAAGCAATTCCGCTTCCATAAAACGTAACGAGGTAAATTAGCTGTTTCGGCTAATTTATTTTATAAGAACTACTTCAAACTACCGTGTTACGTTGAGCATTGTCAAATAATGACGATATGCTCGGGAGCGCTGGAACGAATCCAGTGAAATCGCGAAATTCATTTCGCTGCTTCAAAAAATTGCACGTCGTTGCTGTGCTCAATTCTCTTGGACACTCATTTACGATGTAACGAATAAACATGCTTCAAAGCCCTTGCGAGATAATTTTTTTATATAACTTTCAATCTCTCTCTTTAATCTTTTTAAGTTTTGTCTTAATATTTAATAATTAAGAAATAATAAATTCAAGGCAATTCTCTAATCAACAATCAATTTAATTCTTTAAGCATCCAAAAATATTTCGTTACTGTGGTTTTAATGCTTTCATATTTGTTTCAATTGATCGTCTTAATCTTGCAACTTTGTTTTTACTCTCGATGCTAAGAAGACGTTTTCTCGCATGACTGAACACAAATATCTCTCTCGAAATCTAAACAGAACGTACAGCATCATAAATGTGTCGACACGCATTGGAGAGCAGATCGCATGCATCGCGTTAAAACAAGTCAAGTACTTTGATGCGCATCTTTGAAACGTACGCGCTCTAGCGCCATCGCATAAATTAAAGAGACCAATGTAAATGAATGAGTCATCGGAGATCGCCTCCGGCGACTTTGCGTAAATCTCGATAGAATATTTGTTGTCTAGAACGCCCCCGGACCGTCCTTTCATCTCTCGCGAAATGTAACATGAAAGTTCATCTCGACCGTGAACCGAGGATGAAAGAGAGAAGGAAATGCACGTAACAGAATGAATTTTAACAAGAGTAAATAAATTATTATACTCTGTAAAAAATTCTTTACAGGTCAAAAAGAATATGTGTTAAGTGTAATATAAGTAGATGAAAATCTTAAGAATAAATATGTACAAATTAAAATGAATATTATAAATATTCTAATATAAAAATGTAAATTATGATTCATAAAAATGTAATTGCAAATTCGTCAATAATTCGAATAAATCATTCCATTTACTCGAAAAGAACAAAAACAATATTTAATATTAAGTATGTATTTGAATATTAATATTAAGTATGTATCGCATTTATGTATGATTTTTTATTTAAATAATTAAAATTTTTTCTCTACTAATTCTGTATCTCTCTTTCATCTGTATTTAGATGACAATTTCCGGATATCCTAAAAAAAATTAACATAGAAAATTTATAATAGAATTTAGAAATTTAACAAAATTAGAAATTCTCATTTTTTATAAAATAGAAAATAATTATAATAATTCATTATTAAAAACAATATTTATTATACAAATATATTCTTAAGAGAATTTAAAGATATATATTTAACTGATTAAATATACGTAACTTTGATTTAAAAACGATGAAAAACACAGATGCGTATCCTGCTATATATCAGTATGTTTTGACTCGAACTCTAGAAGTGCTAGATTAAAGCAAGTTTCTTGAAAAACTTGTTATTTCCGCGTCACTCCAGTGAAAAGTGTTCAGGTCACCGGGTTATAAGCTAAAACTATTCCAGTCCGTTCAACTCGTAGGGAAAAGCACCGGACGATCGAAGCGAGTCGCGTCGCGCCGCGGTTGGCCGCCGCGGACTTTTTCCACTTGCGGCAATGCGTCACAAGCGCGTCAAGTGAGTCGAGTATGTACACGGATGCGTGCTTGCGTGTGTTCAAGGCGAGAGCGTACGACGAGTGTTATCGAGGATCGACCGGCGGCGATTGTTCCGAGGACAGGTTGCTGGAGATCGCCCACGCTTCGAGCGATCTCCCTCGCGTATAATCGACACAGCGGCTAAATGTCAGCCCGGCCCGATGCGGAGAACGCGATCTTATATCGCTCGTATACTTGAATATATTTCCTACCACTTTGAATATTTAATCGCGAAGTGATCCAAATGTCGGATCATAGGTATCGATCTACAAAGAGACTCGACAGAATTCGCCGGGGATGGTTTGTCGTCGCGCGTTTCAATACGAGACACGATCGACACGAGCTACCATCCAACATCGAATCCGACGCTTTTGTCATGTTCGATTGACAGGACGGTCTCGATGAATCGATAAGAGCCCACCCGATCCCACGGCGCGTAATTAATGCGAGACGTTCAAATAATAAACGCGCCTATGTGTATGCGTGGATTCGTATAAATTCCTAATAATTTGTGCACATTGTATGTAAATCGTATCGGAATTTATGCGACAGTTTGATCGAGCTGGAGATGCAAACTAGACTTTCATCGCGAGATCATAAGATTAGTACTACCAGCTCATTTAAACGTGCGTATGAGCTAACGGGACTTTAGGATCTCTCTTTTTATCGTTATTGATTCATTTCTTAATTTAACAATGAAGTTAAAAATTTTTTTAAATCGTGATAAAACATAATTAATAGACTATAAGATTATACTTAAATTAGGTTGCTGTTTTGACGAAATTTCGATAAATTAAATAGATGCATCGTGATATTTAAATGACTTTAGCGAAAGGTTACGGAAAAAATAAATTAAAGAAGAAAGAAATTCCTGTATAAATAAGTATTTTTCTACAATTATGATATCTCTTTTATTAAACCTAACTTGGCGCACAAAACTTAATAGAGATATCTAAAAAAGTCAATCAATACATCGAATTTTTTATTTTCCCAATAGTTCTATTTCCTTTTTCTACGCGAAGTAAATTTTCCTCTACATGTGTGTTACATTTCTTTCCTCTGGATAAAGAAAATTTATCGTCTCTACCTATCGTCGTATAAAGCACCGCAGTTCCAACGGGCGAATTAATTCGTCGTCGTCGATACTCACGAGATCGACAGGCGGAGATAAACGTCACTCGCGGGCGGCGAAGTATTAAATTCCGCTGGCGCGCGATCTCGTTCTCTCTATTTTCGCGGACAAAGCTCTCGAGGCTCTCCTTCTCGCATTCCGCCGCCGTAATCGAATTTAATCTCTCGATTCGCATCGGCATCGAGAGATTTTCTTTTCCGCCTCTCCCGCGCCTCGACACGCGACATCGTGTCGATCGCACAATGCGCGGGTTTGTGCAGTCACATACCTCCTCCTCCTCGGCATCCCGCATTCTCTTATTAAATACAATGACTCGCTCGCTGGCGAGCTCACATCCAAACACTGACACTCGAGAGTCCGATCAGTGTGTCACTATATCCACTCGATGGACAATAGAGATAGGTGTGAATTTTTCATCAATTTTTCTTTCAAATCAAAACCGATCAATGTGGATAAGACAGTATTTCAATTTGTGAATTCCATTTAAATTCCACGCGTAATCTGCATCTGGAATACATATATATATATATATATATATATATATATATATATATATATCCACTTACTTTGACAATCGGCAACCGTGGGCGAGCTCTGCGTGCTGGTGGAATTCCCGTTGGCGGTGGACGATTGGACGGCACCGAGGCTTCGGTAACCCTCGTCGGACACCTCGCTGCAGTTGTCCGAGTGCTCTCCATCGCCGTGCGGCGACTTCTGGGTGTTCGCCGTGGTGTCCTTGCCGAAAGTCTCGATGGGTGGTTGTTCCTCTTTACTCGGCGTGGGGCTTCGGCTGCCGCTCGAGTCCTCGCTGCACTTGTAGTTGTAGATAGACGGCTCGTACTTTGGCGTGTCGTCTCTCTCGACGGCGCGACGCGCCACACCACCCTCCACGATGTATCGTTTCGTAAACTCGCCCGACACTTTAAGACCGGACTCCTGAACACAGAACAAACAAATCCGGTTCCGATTACGTATTCCTCTCTACGTATCTTTCTGCTTAAATTCCGAATGACGTGAAAAGATAAAAGATCGTCGAGATGTTAATATCATTAATTTCAACAAACTAATAGAAGTGATTTCACGAACAATTTTTTATCGCAAATATCTTATATTAAATTTGAACTCTCAAAAGTTATTATTAATATTTAAAATATATATCTCGCAAAATAAAAGAGTAAACTTACTCGAGTATTTTCCTGAAGCTTTCCGTGATAGGTTGGCGATCGCGCCTCCTCGTTGGCGTTCCTTCTGGAATCGATATTCTTCCGTGGTGTCGGGCTTCTCGATCGCAGATTCGCCCTGGGCGTCGGCGACCTCGATCTCTGCTTCGCCAAATCGGTCTGATGCTGATTCGGGCTCGCCAATAGTTTTCTATGCGGCGTGGGACTCCTCGAGCGCTTCTTCAACTCGTCGCTCGATTGCGGCTGGTGTTGTTGCTTGCTGCCGGTCGTCGGTCGGTGAGGTGTGGGCGATCGCGAGCGATTGCTAGAAATGCTTCTGGGTGGTGCGTGCAGCTGCGCCGATTGTAGATTCTGCACCGAACCGACGCTCGACGCGGAACTTCGCCGGGTTCTCGGAGGTGATGATCTGAAGGTGGAAACAACGACCGCGGGCTTTATGGCGGAATTGATGTCGGTTGTTATATCGGGTCGTGTTAACCGGCTGTGCATTGGAGAATTTCCAGTTTCCGTATTCACAACGAAATGTCACGACATATACTATACGTTCATGAATGTAATGAAATTTATAGCAAAAATCGTTAATCGTTAATAAATTTGCTTCAAGCTGGTTTATGGTAAAAATTAAAAACGTAAAATACGATATAATTTCTAATTTAAAAGAAAATAACAGAAAAAAATATTCTTTTTCTCGCGTAAGTCTAATTTATGAGCATGATTAGCATTAAATATCAGATAAAAAATATAAATTTGAAATAAAGATTCTATTAATTAATTTATTCAAAAAAATAATTCATGCAAGGTAATATAAAAAATTAATAAAAATAAATAAAAATCCCGTAGAATTAAAAAGAGAAACAAAAATACGTATAACAAAAATACATATAATAACTGCCATGTAATTTATCACATTCATACGTATTTCAAAATTAAAAGAAATTAAAATTTGGCGTGTGTTTCAATTTAATGGTATCAGTATTTGACTCTGTGTTAGAAAGTAGACCTCTGCTTTTATCGTTATCAAAGTATTCTTTGCACCATATCTGTGTATAATAAAAATTGTGCCAGTGTAGTAAAAAAAGAGCAAATGCTCACCGTTCATAATGCACCTGCGCGTTACCCAGGTCGAAGGATCCACCAGCCTTTTGAATGAGCTTCGCTGATACCATCGAGCGATGGGCTGAAAAATTCAAAAAAAAAGATTGTTAAGTTCGTTAGGATCGTTAAGTTGCGACTTGTTTGAAGAGAAGGATTCGATAAAAAATGATTCGTGTGATACTTACAGTTTCTGCATCGGCACGGATCGTGTTTTTCTAAATAATGGCTCAGAGTATCCCATCCACCACCGACACGCACCATCACGTGACTTCGTAGGACCCGGACGTAGATCGTGACCTTGGTGTCGCCAATTCGATACTTGCCCTCCGCCACATGAATCATCGGAAATTGCGTTGGACATGTGCATTCCTCTACGATATCGCGGACCTGAAAGCAGAAAATGATCGATTTTTAAATAAAATCTAATGAAAGATATACTCTAATAATGTTATCAATTTGAAGAGATTTTCCTGACACTTATAATATTAAAACTTTGAATAAATTCCCGGTAAAAATTCAGGTCGAATGTAAAGAGATTTTGTTGAATATATTTTCTTCTATTTTTAGAATTTAACATTTTCCAAAATTTGAAATTTTTAATACCAAACTGCAAATCGCTATTTTTGGTATTGCATTCTCTGTGCAATTCGATAAATATATCTCTCGAAGAAGAATATATAGCTCGAAGAGAGAGAGTATCAATGATGTATTTTTGGATTCAATATCAAACAAAAACACTGCGGGAGTATATTTATTACTCTTTTTATCGAAACACATGGAACCTCGATCAGTTTCTGACCAAGCGTTGCATTGTTTCGCGAAGAAAAACATCACCGGACCGAAAGGCGGAGAATATAGGATCCGATAATTAGTAGGGACGAAAACTGAATTCTCGGAAGTCGTACCAGGATTTCAAACGCACGTTCATCGTTCCGTTAACAAGGCCGCAGAGAACAGGTAAAACTGCTCGTCGACTTCGTCTTTCGAATCGCTTTCAGTGGCGATCGCCTGCTGAGTTACATCCGACAAAAAGACGGAGGCATGCTCGTGTAAGATCAATTACCGACTCGGGAAACCTTGCTTTTCCTCACGAGAAAGTCGCTTCTGTTGCCGGCAATGAAGAAAAGATTATACATGTTTGTTTTGCACTTTGTTCCGATTCAACCATGTCGCATTCACGTATAACATGAGTTGCAGTTTCTCATTATTAATTTTTTTTCTCATACAATTAATAAATATATTTTTATACAATTTCTCGTAGAAACTGACATTGAAAATAATTTTTAAAATATCTATCGTAATTTTTTAAACTTATACTTAAATTTTCAACTTATATCCTAGTCTAGTATATCCTTTCTCAGATGTTTTATTTCTTCATTTACGTACGTTTGAAATGAAAATTGAAGATTCGAAAGTCTCACGAGATTATAAATCCCAGAAAGGGTTATTCGTTTAATAATCGACATGGCGAAAGGGACCATTTTCCACAAGCGTCTTCGCAAGCGCTCGAATTAGAAAGCAGAGATAATTGTGCGCGAGTTGCCCGCATTAAAGTCTCCGATTCTCTTCACTTGAAGGAGTGTCCTTTATTATGAAACAAGCTCGTTTCGCTTCTCTGGAAGAGAGACGCATGTGACTTCTTTTTCCCTATGTTGGAAGAAAACTTTCGAAACGTCGGCGTTCAAGTCGGCGAATTCGACTGGAAGGAAGAGATAGGCAAGCGTGTCGAATCTTTGGCGCATCTTTGTCGTCGAATAATACAATAAAATTGTCCGTACAAAAGATTATGCAACGGATTCATGCTCGTAGAGTACGTCTCGGCATTTCGAAAACGTTACACAATCTCACTTAATTTCCCGAGTAATTGCGAGTCACGCATTTCATGTTCATGAGAAGTGAAAAATATATAGTAAATTTTTAACGTGGCAGATCATTGATTCTTCAAATTTGAAAGGTCCAAGGATTTCGAAAAAGCAAAATAAAATCGTGAAAAAAGGTATACATCACACAATGTACTGAATTCATTTTATTTTTAATTCTTTTGGATGGGAGAGCCGCTGAAGTTATAAACAAAGCATGAGAAGAAAAACCATTCAACATAATCTATACATGATTTTTCATATATCCGCGATATAAAAAGCCGACAAGTATAGATCATGGACTGTAATTTAAAACATGTATGTCAACACACGCGTTATTACACACGTGCAGCGGTTACTGACTGCAACGCAGAGACTTTACAAAACCACCTGGTAGCGTACACATGAGCCCTTTTCCCACCGACCGATTCAATTCCTCGACACCGTCGAAGTGACGTCGCCGTCGGCGTCGTTGACGATTTATCGGCCCGCCGTGTAGGTACACGCCCGCGGTCGAGATGCGGACCGATCGCGCGAGGCTCCCCTTCCCCCCCCGCGCGTATTATCGATCGGATCGGCCGATAAACAGCCGGTGGATCGATCGATCCGCCGGCGTGGTGTCGCGGAACGAGTGGCCGGTGAACGAGCGCGCGGCGGCTTTCGCTTCATATTGATCGCCGGGGCCAGCCCGATGGTATCGCGGTCGCGAATCTCGCGCCGATACAACACGCGAACACGCGTGTCCTTCGCACGAGGCGACGGCCACCCACCGTAGCCGACGTCACTAACGTAATCATTTATCAATGAGCGCGCCGATGGTGCGCAGCCCGCCGGAAGTGGTCATTAACCGGGGGTATCGATGATCGAACTGCCGATCGCCGAGAGATCAGCGGCTTATCGCGTTTTTATATGCTCGCGCACGTGCTTATCGAGTCATCGAGAGCGCGATTTACGACGTCGAGGGTGTTCCGTTTGTTTCTTTACCCGCAAGCGGTGGCACGGAGGTGTTTCGTTGCATTGTTATTTTTACGCATCTCGATGATTGAAGGAACTGTCTGGTTAGCAATTAATTATATTTATCGCAGGAGAATCATAAAAGAATTTATGCTTCTGGATTTTTTAATCAGAGTTGTGCTTTCTTGAAAGCTGTGAGAATTTTCCTTTTAATTTTTGGATTCTCCCCTTTAATTGAATTTATTTATACTTTTTATTTTACTTTTCGATTTTGTGTAGTACATGCTATAAAAGATTATTTAATCATTAAATTATCCTTCATAATTTTTTTTTTGAGAAAAAGATAAATTTAATCGGTCCTTGCAACTAATTTTTCAATATTTGATAATTTTACTATTGATAGACTTTCGATTTACTATATATTAGTTAACTTACGTTAACTTACGTACCGTCTATTTGCCAATCTTTTATCACCGTCTCTATCAATAACTTCGTGAGTCGGCTTCGCTTTAAATCGCTTCCCGATAGTTCGAAGATCGGAATTTACAACGGGCGTTAAACCGACTGCGCTATCGATCACTCTCCCTTATCGCCGAGTCGGATCATTTTAAATATATAGGGTGTCTATGAAAGATCCAATCTATGTCTGAGAACGTGTTTTATTAGTTCTTAAGATCGACCCAGATCCGAGAATGCATCATGTATATGTCCATATTTACAATCAATTACACTGTTTGAAATTCAACGTTTACATACCAGACAAATTGTTCAGACAGTTGAGAAACAGGCGGCAAACTATGTCTATTCGATTTATACGCGCTTTGATGCCTTTCAGGAATTCTAATGAGAAAGTCGATCTATATTTAAAAAGAAATGTCCAACGAGGATATTAACAAAGTCTCCACGTCATAAAATGCTACTTAAAATACGCAATGTTATCTAGCAAAAACGATGTTGTCAAATTTATATCATTTTATCAATCAATTCACAAAGTTTTTAAAAATTCCTTCATCAGAACTTGAAATACCATCCGCACATGTATACCCAGCAATGTGTTTTTAACACTCGGTGAAAATTATTTATCGATATCGTGCCGCGCCGTTCGCGTTTGCAATGTAACACGCCGTGCTGCGCGAAATTCTTAGTCACGGACCGCTGAGAAGCGCGAACACGTGGCCAGAATACCGCGTTTCCCTGCCGGTGACACTTTTTTCCAACGGACAATTTATATGGACCGCTCGATAAATTAACAAGCATACACGGCACGGCGGTGCTCGTAATTGTCACGAGCGGAATTTTCTCCATGATGTAAGACGACGCAAATTTTTCGCTCGTCGTATCTCGAGGTGTTAAATAATCTGCTGCGCCAAACGCGGCGAAGATGTAATATCCCGTAGTTGTGTGATATTACACGTGATGCATAGCCGCAAGTTTACGGAATTAACTATGTCGTATCGTTGATTTATCGCATGTAAATAAATTTAGAGACAAGCGCACATATACGGTACGTATACGAAATTAAAGCGTGCATTGTTAAGAAAATATTCTACGTCATGTTGATTGAAAAATGATCTTATACAAATTATATCATAGATTAGTGATAATATTATACAGAAAAAAATATATCAAACATTTCCAATTTAGATTGTCATATTTCAGACAAACACATTTTTAAAAATTCCAGTACGGAGAAATACATTAAGTCATCATATTATAGCAACAAGTTTATTATCTCCTCTATCTCCTGATTATCATAAAATATCGATCGATCTCGTCCTCGATGCATTAAAAGCCCGCACGCGTTTTTGATGCCAAGCGCCGTAAATCTGATTTTAATCACGATTGACAAATTGACACGTTACGTAAGGTGAAAATAAAAATCTCTGCTCGAACGAGATCTTCGTGGAAAAGCAACGATGGCTTGGTAAATCATCGCAAACAAGCATTTCATTGCGGATTCCGAAGGCGTTCCGGCTGACGTCGATCGCGAGCTTCCACTTACGTCACGTTGTCTCTCCTTTCAAATATTTAATTAGGTCGCGGAGTCGATTAACGAATCCAGCCGCATCGCGACGATCATACCGTTCGATAATCAATAATTAATTCCTCCGTGGGAGGATATCAACAATCATATCGTGCCCCTCATGGATCAGAAATTTTTCACAAAATCCGCGGCAGAAGATTTTTTAAAGATACGCGATTTATTAAAATTTTTTTATTCAAAGAGAAGTATCTTAAAATTTATTTTCTTACTCATACATATATAAAAAATACATATATATAAATTATAGATTATTTTATAAAGATTTAAATTAGAAAAATAAAGAAATGATATTTTTAATTGCATTTTCTTTTTTTTTAAAGCTTGTAGGAAAATTACAATCACGTATTTTTCGCTCACGATATTTTCGTCACGTAAATTTAAGACAGTTATATCTGATACCGCACAGTTATGTTTAGTGCTTTTAATGCAGCGCAACACGCAGGGGTTTAAAGCGACCAAGAAGCACGAAAAGAGATAAATCGAATCAAACTATGCCAAGCAATTTGCTTGAAATAGTTTGGACGGTTCAC